AGGCTGCAGTGAGCCGAGAATGTGCCACTGCACTCCAGCCTGGTTAACAGAGTGAGACTCTGTCTCAAAACAGAAAAAAAAGGAAACAAGTCTGTATATGTTCAGTATAGATGCAACCACCCATTTTTTTTTCTGAATGTTTTCAATCAGAGGTTGGTTGAATCCACAGATGTGAAACCCATACATATAGAAAGCCAAGTGTACTGAAGGCCTGTGGCCTGTGGTAGAGAAGAAAGAGAAGCTTCTTAAGTTAGTCCTGAAAGGCAACCCTGGATTAAAAAACCTGCTCGGGCCCTGATGGATTGAAATACTAATTCCATCCAGCCTGCATGATACCAGGATTAAGTAGGAACATGGGAGAAAACTTGGTCCACACTGAATCTTGAGAAAAAGTGCTGGTGGGCCCAGGAAACAGTGAATTGAAAAGACCTTAAACCCGCTCAGGAAAGTTTCCATGCAGAACCCCAAACTTGGCCTCCTAATGGCAAGGAATCATCTTCATTAAAGTGACCACACATCACCATTCTTCTGGGACAATCCACTATCATACAAGTACATTTTTCCAGTAAAGGCAATTCGCTTCTTCAGCCAACAACTATTTAGGGACCATTTAGTTACCACCTGCTCTGTGCCAGGCAGTGATCAGGCCACAGTGGGCAGGACAGACACAGACCCTGTCCTTGCCTGTTGTACAGGAAATGTAGCAAATCTGGATTCAATTCTAACCCTTTGTGAATTTCTCCCCTCATAAACACATTCAGAAATCAGGAAAAATGGCCAGGCATGATTGCTTATGCCTGAAATTCCAGCACTTTGGGAAGCCAAGGCAGGTGGATCATTTGAGGTCTGGAGTTCAAGGCCAGCCTGGCCAACATGGTGAAACTCTGTCTCTATTAAAAATACAAAATTAGCCGGGCATGGTGGCACAAGCCTGTAATCCCAGCTGCTTGGGAGGTTGAGGCAGGAGAATCACTTGAACCCAAGAGGTGGAGGCTGCAGTGAACAGAGATCATTCCATTGCACTCCAGCCTGGGCAACAAGAGCAAAAAGTCTGTCTCAAAAAAACAAAACAAAACAAAAAGAAAGAAATCAGGAAGAAGGGGAAAAATAAACCTCTTTCTAATTCCAGGCATTCTGATATAGACTTGAAAAATAAAGTCTTGGCTCAACAAGGGATTTTTCAAAACCCCATGTGGAAGCTCTATGGGGTGTGTAATGCCATAGCACATCCCATTAATGGGACAAACTGCACACCCTTTAGATTTGTGCCTTTTAAACATATGCCCCATGGTGAAAATGGCTGTTAGCATACACTTCCGGCAGCTGTGCAGAATGCTGACACTGTCCCGTGAGGCAGTGGGGTGGGGTGGGGGCGATGTTCTGTGGTCAAAGCCTCCTCACCTTCTGAACCACATTTCAACCTCTGGGAATCTATATGTGGAAACGATTCTGACTATGGACACAGTCTTCCACACAACAGCTGTTTGCTGTGGCGACATTTACAGAAGCAGCAAGTCCAAAGGTAGAGGAAAGGGTAGCTAAATAATGGTGTAGTCACTTAATGACACGTCCAACAGTCAGGGAATTAAATAGAGCTGGCCCAGAAAGAGCTGTCTGCGCAAACAGAGGCACATTTATGGCAGCATCATTCATCGGGCCGAGGAGCTCAAAGCAACATGCCCAGCGATTACAGAATGGTAAACCACTTTATGGCCCATCTCTTCAACAAATTATGTAGTCATAAAAATTTATATTTACAATGACAGCTATCACATGGATAAAGGCTTGCAGTATAACGTTAAATAAAACCCAGGATGCAAACGTGTATACTATAGTTACAGCTGGGGAAATGCATTAAAACAGCAACACCAACGTGCTGGGAGGCACCGCGGGTGACAGATCACTTTTTATTTCCCAGATATTCTATAACATGGTTCTATTTCTTCTATAAAAGTATGTATTTAAATATAAACATTCTACTCCAACCACTTCCCATTTCTGAATTTCTAATATCCATGTGCAGAGACTTGCCCATTGTTCGACTCGGCTTGCTGGGGAAAGCTTGGGCCTTGGAGTCTCAGATTTGAGTTTGAAACTTGGCCTTGTTAATTTAATTTTTCTCTTGAGTTTTTTCTATATTTTATATCTATATGTTTTCTGTTGCTGTAAAATTGAAAAAATAATTCCAACTACACAGGCTGGTTGTGAGAATTCAGTGAGATTGTGTAAATACTCATCCGAGAATCCAGGACCCAGCAAATCATCAATGAGCCAGGCTGCCACGAGTGGCATTACCTGAACGCCACAGTAAAGGCCACCAGGAGGCAGCCTGGGAGCCAGATTGTACCCGGCAACTCCAATGTGCCAGGAGGATTGTCAGTGACATTCTACCTGTGTGTCTTTATGCCTTCACATATAAGGCTACTCACACTGGATTAGGATTCCACCCCACTCCAGTGTGACTTCATGGTAATTTAGCTAATTACATCTGCAATAATCCTATTTCCAAATAACTCACATTCTGAGTTACCGGAGTTAGGACCTTAACCTATCACAGATAGATAGATAGATACATAAACAGTTGATAGATAATAAATGATAGATAGATAGATAATAGATGACAGATAGATAGATAGAATGATTGATTTTATGTGGCCCACAGATACATATTTTACAGGCTGGGTGTACCTTATCTGAAATGTCTGAGACCAGAAGGAATTCTGGATGTTTTTCAGATTTTGGAATATGTACAGAATAAGGTATCTTGGGGATGGCACCCAAGTCTACCCATGATATTCATTTGTTTCATATATATTTTATATATGATACATAGCCTGAAGGGGATTGTATATAATGTTTTAAATAATTTTATGCATGAATCAAAGTTTTGACCATGTTTTGACTGCAACCGTCACATGAGGCTGAGTGTGGAATTTTCCACTCCTGGCCCCATGCTGGTGCTTAGAAAGCTTCAGATTTTGGAGCATTTTGGAATTTGGATTTTTGGATTAGGGATGCTTAACACTGTATTTGGACCACAGCATTACAGACATTTAAAATCCAACATTTACCAAGATTTAAGTCCTTCAATTTCACATAAAGTAAGGTGTTATGGATTAAATCATATCCCCCAAAAAGACAGGTTGTGGTCCCAACCCCAGTACCTCAGAATGTGACTTATTTGGAAATAGGATCATTGCAGATGTCATTAGTTAAATTATCATGAGGTCACACTGGAGTAGGGTGGACTCCTAATCCAGCCTGAGTGGTGGCTTTATAAGTGAAGCCACAGAGACACACAGGCAGAATGTCACTGACAGTGAAGGCAGAGATTGGAATTCAAGCTGCAAACCAAGGACACCCAAGATTGCTGGGAAACCACTCTAAGCTAGGAGAAGGCAAGGAAGGGTCTGCGATAGGGTCTGGAGGGAGGGAGCATGGCTCCACCAACACCTGAATTTCTGCATTCTGGCCTCTAGAACTGTGAGACAATACAATACATTTTTTCCTTTTTTTTTTTTTTGGAGACAGGGTCTTGCTCTGTCACTGAGGCTGGAGTGCAGTGGCACAAACATAATCCACTGTAGCCTTGACCTCCTGGGCTCAAGCAATCCTACTGCTTCAGCCTCCAAAGTAGCTGGGACTTCAGGCACCACCACATCCAGCTAATCTTTAAAATTTTTTGTAGAGAAAGGGTCTTGCTACATTGCGCAGGCTGGTCTCAAACTCCTGGGATCAAGCGATCCACCAGTCCTGGCCTCTCAAAGTGCTGGAATTACAGGCATAAGCCACTGTGCCCAGCCTTTTTCTGTGGCTGTAAGCCACTGATTTTGTAGTATTTTGTTAAGGCAGCCCCAGGAAGCTAATAGATAAGGATTTACATTTCTCTTGAAAGACTGGACTATCTGACACCACTGGTCCACCTTCTTATAGCAACCAGGATTCAGGGCCCAGTTTGCCACAGTCCCCACCACTCCCTATTGTCACCCGGACACCAAGACCATATGTTCTTGGCCATTCACTATCACATTTGCACAGCTGTTTTCCTTATTGATGATAAATATTTCTCTACAACCACATCCCAATCAAAAGATAAACCAAGCAGGACACTTGCATTCAATAAAAAGGAGATCAGCCTGGCCAACATGGTGAAACCCTGCCTCTACTAAAAATACAAAAATTAGCCGGGCCTGGTGGCAGGCGCCTATAGTCCCAGCTACTTGAGAGGCCGAGGCAGGAGAATCACTTGAACCCGGCAGGTAGAGGTTGCAGTGAGCCAAGACTGCACCACTGCACTCCAGCCTGGGTGGTAGAACAAGACTCTGCCTCAAAAAAAAAAAAAAAAAGACGAGGAGACCTGTGTCTTTGTGGAAGTGAAACGTAGATTTATAGGTTTAAATGCAAACTACATCTTTTTTTTTTTTTTTTTTTTTTTTTTTGTTTCTTTTTTTTTTTTTTTTTTTTTTTTTTTTTTTTTTTTGTATCAGCTCCTATGCGCTCTTTACATTCCAGGTTGGTCCCTGTGGGCATTTGAATTTGCCAAGCCCAGCTCCCTCGGACACTGTTACTAGGAAATAGCAGATCTATATTTTCCAAAAAGACTGCAGTTCTGCGTGATTCCAAAAAAAACACAAAGCTCTTGATTTGTTTCAGAACGGGATATGTTCTGATATAAACCAATCCTGAAAGTCCCTTAAATCCTTCAAAAGCTTTAAGTATTTATGTTTTTAATTTTGGGTGAATATACCCTGAGGTCTAAGTAGAGAATTCATCAGGAAGTTTTCCATGAATAAATTACAATAACTGGGTCGAATCCCTCGGCCATATTTATGTTGCTTTGAGAGACGGTGATGACAGGCTTTTCATCATCAGGCATGCAGAGACGTGTGTGTCTCTGCTTCAGGATCACTCTGTGAAATCTCCCCGCTTCCGTGACCCATCTGCCCTGCAGATCTGTGACTCAGCGGCAAGGCAGGGCAGGTGTATCATCACAGGCTCACCTTGGGCGGTTTCAGACTTTTCCCTCGATGCCTTTTGGAGCGCAACAGCCGTTCTCTCTCCTAGAAGGAAACACAAGAGTTGGCGTTTCCAGCCAGCCTCACATCTCACGAAACAAAGCCACTGGCTCTCAAAGGGAGCTTTGTGGGCCCATCAGCACCAGGTATGGCTAGTTCAGGTTCTAAGGGCCCAAGTGATGGCTGCTTCTCTGAACTGAGAGCTACAGGGAGAGTTTATTATCCACCTTTTGACTTTATTGTTATTTCATTGAAATATATTTTTCATCCTAAGCTGCATTGAGTCTTTTATGTTATGAAGCAAAGATGGATGGATGGATGGATGGAAAGATGGATGGATGGATGCATAGATAAGTAGATGGAAGCATGAAAGAACAGGTGAGTGGGTGGATGGATGGACAGATGAAAGGAAAAAGAGAGAAATTAAAGTGGTAGAGAGAGATGGTGGCAGGCAAAATGAACATGACAATTATAATCAAAGCCTTTTCTAGAATTTTGATCACTAGCTTTTCTATTCTTTGAAGACCAGTGCATGGAACCGTCACACACCCTCTCGGGTGACAGCAGAATACGTTCTGCTTCTAAGATCCAGCTAAAGCTCCCTGCAGGTGTTCCCTACCTGTAATCTAAGCTCCTTTCACAGAGGGCTGCAGAATTCTCTGGATGTAATTTCCCACTTGCTTAACATGCTCACCCCGCTTTGATAGATGCATGCCCCATATACATGTCCAAAAAGTACACAGACAAATTTAGCTAAGTGCTGTTCTGATTATACAGTTCAAGTTTGTGGGCTCAAACTCACAGTCTGCAACTGCTAAGCTAAAAACCAACCAACCAACCAAACAAACAAACAAAAAGCCTTCTCTGGAACAGATCATGCCCAGTCTCTCACAGGCAAAAGACATCCTTAAAACTGATGCTGCTTCTTAACCACAGCAAACAGGGAGAAGATTTGAGAAGAGGGTAGCCATGGAAACCGTCCCCAGGTACCAGTGATCTCATTTAAGCCAAGGCTGCTTGATGGCAGAATGAAGCAGGCATAAGCACACCAGGGTGAGCTTGGTGCATCCCAAAGTCAGCACTGCCTGACCCTGACCCAGCTCAGCAGCATCACCCTGAGCCCCAACGCCCGTTCCTGACACCCATGTCACCCAGCGCCACCCACGGCAGGGACAGCCGCGCCAGCCATGCTAGATGTACCAGTGAGAGGTCGTCAATGACGTGCTGCTGCTCCAGCACCTGCAGCCTCAGGAACTCGATCTCCTGCTCATCCCTGGTCAGGCTGAGGTCGTTCAGGGAGGTGTGCCGCTTCAGAGACGCCTGCGCCGACAGCTTTTCTTTCTGCAGCCACAGGGAGAGAGACCACTGCAGCATTACCCACCAACAATGTTTGTTAGGGACAGCACTGGAGTGGGGCTTAGGGGTGCAGGGACAGAAGGATGGATGGGAGGATGAAAGAGATGATGGCCTGATGTGGTTTGGCTGTGTCCCCACCCAAATCTCATCTGGAATTGTAGCTCCCATAATTTCCAGGTGTTATGGGAGGGGCCCAATGTGAGATAATGGAATCATGGGGGCAGTTCCCCCATACTGTTCTGATGGTTGTGAATAAGTCTCTGATGTTTTTATAAGGGCTTTCCCCTTTTACTTAGCTCCCAATCTCTCTTGTCTGCCACCACGTAAGATGTGCCTTTAGCCTTCTGCCATGATTGTGAGGCCTCCCCAGCCAGGTGGAACTGTAAGTCCATTAAACCTCTTTATCTTTATAAATTACCCAGTGTCAGGTATGTCTTTATCAGCAGTATGAAAATGAACTAATATGTGGCCACCTTGTCCTGTGCTGGAAGAGGAGACAGGGCAGACCAAAACCAAGCCCAAGATGGGGCTGACCGTGAACGCTGCTGACAGGAAGGGATGGGCAGGGCCTGGGCGTAGAAGATGACATCTGAAATGGGCCTAGAAAGCTGGGAGGGGAAGGCAGGGGAAGGCTAGGACTTCACAAAACAGCAAATCACACACACGTGCATGCACACACACACACACACACACACACCTACACCTGCTGTGGTACACAGTGGAGCGTGCATGCTCTCAGCACTTTCATCATCCCAGCTGTGAAACAGGGGTTGATACTACTCTGAACAATAAACCTGAAATTATTCTGTAAACTGTCAACTACAAGACACCTGCGCTGACCACAAACACCGGGCATCCTAGCTGGAGGAAAAACGCCCTCTGCATAGCATCGCCAGCAATCATCGTAATGGCTTTCACATACTGGGTGTCCTATGAGGTCTTTGCGTGCTATCATTTCTTCCTCTTGATGATCCTGCAGTGTTGATATTTTCATTCCCATTGTATATATGAAGAAACAGGCTCAGAGAGAATGGGGGATGTGTTTAAGGACACAGCTGTCTGACTCTCTCTGGCACAAACACCCACAGCACAGTGAATGCAAGACAGATGGAGAGAAGGAAGACACGTTTGACCGACACTGCTTCTGGTGCTTCGTGGGGAGGTGGGTGGCAGGTGGGCCCCAGAACATGTGGACCAGAAGGTTCAGGGCTGGAGAATCCCAGATAGAGATGGGAGTGCCAGGGCTGACCCCACGGGACCCACGGCTCACCATTTCCACATTTTCCCGCGTGAGGTTCTTAATTTTCTCCTCCATCCTCTGTATACTCTGCAACAAATCCTCATTCTTCTTGTTCATCCTCTTGTTCTTCTCCACCAGAGGCTTCAGCTGAACCTCAGTCTCTCGCGAGCGTTTCAACTGTGGTTGGAAACAGACACCAGAGGCTTAGACAACTTGAAGATGGACGGCCGAGGTCACAGCACCGAGGTGAGCAGAGACTCAACCCCGTCCCTGTTAGGACCCCTTCTGAGACCAGTGTCCTGGGTGACACACTTGCTTGCTAGTTGCATGACAACGGGCAAGTCCTCAGCCTCAGTTCCTCATCTATCAAATGAGAAGCGTGGCAGCTCCTGTCTCCTAGGCACGTGGTACGAATTAAATGCATACTGGTAGTCTCCTCAGGGTTATTTTCATGAAAAGAATCAGAAACAACTTAACTATCTATCAATATTATGACAACCACAGACACAGCCGCCACGTGTGAAGGGGGAACTTTCCCCATCCCCATTTTATAAACAAAGAAGAACCTGAGCCCAAAGGGAGGAGGCAATGGGACCAACTTCACAAGGAAAGTGCCAAGAATGCTGTACACGTCTGCAAAGATTGGTCGTTTGATTTCACCAAGAATCAAACACAAGGGACTGACTCTAGAGCCCTGCTTTTACTCCCCAGGCTGTAAATGTTAAGGAAAAATATTCTGATACCATAGGCTGAAATGTAAAATGTACCATGTGACCCATCATTTTACTTCTAGAAACCTCCCCCCCAAAAAAATGCCATGTAGAAGATACATGTGTCTTTACTGATTTGAAATAAAGGTTCAAGTCAGTAAAGACACACATGTATCTTCTACATGGCATTTTTTTTTGAGACAGGAGGTAGGCACTATGACATGGGTCATTTTGACAAAGGGTCTCACTTTTTCACCCAGGCTGCAGTGCCCTGGCATGATTTCAGCTCACTGTAGCCTTGACCTCCTGGACTCAAGTGGTCTCCCACCTCACCCTCCCAAGTAGCTGGAACTACAGGTGTGCACCACTGTGCCCAGCTAATTAAATTTTTTTGTATTTTTAGAGATAGGGTTTTGCCCTGTTGCCCAAGCTGGTCTCGAACTCCTGAGCTCAAGGAATCTGACCACGCTGGCTTCCCAAAGTGCTGACATGATAGGTATGTGGCACCTCACAGAAATCCAGAAATCGGCAGCAGTCTGAAGATCCACCATTTGGAAGAGAGTTGAACAGACCATGGTATACCCACACAATGGACTACCAACCAAGCGGCTGGTAAAAAGACACAGACAGATCTTCAAGCACTGATAGCAAGTGCTGTAATTGATCAACAGACTGAAAAAAGCAAGTTGCAGAACAATACACAGTGGTGGCGGTGGCGGGCGGAAATCCCAATTCATAACCACAAAATAAAAAAAAAGTCTCTTGGTGGGTTTCAAGGTATTCATTTAAGCATTAAAAACATGTAAGAACCACCCCAAACTAGCAGTATTACCTCATGATTTTAAGATTGAGGCCAGGCGCAGTGGCTCATGCCTGTAATCCCAGCATTTTGGGAGGCTGAGGCAGGCAGATCACTTGAGGTCAGGAGTTCAAGACCAGCCTGGCCAACACAGTGAAACCCTGTCACTATTAAAAATACAAAAATCAGCTGGGTGTTGTGGTGGGTGCCTGTAATCCCAGCTACTCAGGCGGCTGAGGCAGGAGCATTGCTTGAACCCGGGAGGGGAGGTTGCAGTGAGCTGAGATCGCACCATTGCAGTCCAGCCTGGGCAACAGAGCAAGACAGTGTCTCAGAAAAAAAAAAAAAGACTGAAGCGTTGGCAAACTTATCAGTTTCTACTTTTAACTACTTCAGTCTGATCTGACATGTTTCCAGAAGCCTCTGTTTTTTCCTAATCCACTCAGTAAACTATTTTGCAGTTCATGAGTATTTATGAGCTTATAAATATTTAAATGAAAAGTAGAGACATAGTATTAGATGTACAGTCTGATTAAAGCCATAAAAATATGCCTTTAAAAATACTGGAAGGATGCCTATAATCCCAGGACTTTGGAAGGCCAAGGCGGCGGATCATGAGATCAGGAGATTGAGGCCATCCTGGCCATGGTGAAACCCTGTCTCTACTAAAATACAAAAAATTAGCCAGGTGTGGTGGCGCGCGCCTGTAGTCCCAGCTATTCAGGAGGCTGAGGCAGGGGAATCACTTGAATCTGGGAGACGGAGGTTGCAGTGAGCCAAGATCATGCCACTGCACTCCAGCCTGGCAAAAGAGCAAGACTCTGTCTCAAAAAAAAAAAAAAATACTAGAAGGAAGTGAATTTATTTTGATCATGTTAAAGTTGTGAAGAGGTGATACTGACCCTTTTCACCACTCATTTTTTTCAAATATTCTGCAGATATACTTCCCTTCATTAAAAGTTAGAATAAACATAAAAATTATGAGGCCTCTGTCAAGAAGTTGAGGTATCAACTGCCATTACATAAAAATTAGTTTTGCTGTTATCTGGAAAATGTAAATGTATTCATGAAATTGCTATTTTTACTGGAGATTTCTTTTTTAACCAGAAGTCCATGATCGTTATTTTAAAAATTAATGTATAAGTTTTATTTTACAAGTATATAAAATTTTATGCAAAAAAGGAAATAGATAAGCACAAATTAAAATTACCCATAATTATGCCACCTAAAAGAACAACTTCTAATATCCAAGATGATGACAATGTTTTCTTGTTCTGTAAACTATTTTTTTCATTTAATTTACTATGAACACATTTCCATGTCAATTAAGTAGGGTCTCCATCACCAATCTTAATGACAGTAGAGAATTAATTGCATAAATATTCCACAGTCACTCTGCCCAGTGCTTTACCATTGAACAATTGGGTTTTTTGGTTTTTTAATTTTTGATTTGCTTTGGATTTGGTTGTTAATATAAACAACACTTCAATGAACATCCTCGCCATGCTTCTCCCAGAACTTCTACAATCGTTTGCTAAAGATAAATTCCTGCAAAAACAAATGGCAGTAAGAGATTTCTTCAATGTGTGTGTGTTAGATTTTTAATCAAAAAGAAGAAAGAAAGAAAGTTCAGAGAACCAGAAGGCCTCTGTGTTAACTTTCTGTGCAGGGCATGTTCTGGGGACCCAGGGCCCCTTCCTTGCACCCTATGAGCCACCGTCTGTCTCAGAGGCTGCTCACCAGTTCATTCCTCTCATCTGCCAATAGCGTATTTCTGTCTTCCAGCTTCCGTATCACTGAATTCAGTTCAGCAATTTTTAGTTGAAATCGCCTCACATCTCGTTCATCCATATGTTGATCCTAAAAAAACAAAAAAGTCAAGATGCAAATGTACTTTGAAGAAGCTTCCTGGAGTCTTAGAAAATTCACATGACATAATGGGTGAGATCCTTATTCAGGGGCCCGCATGCCACACAGCAAGGTGGGGAACACCCAAGCGCACTGCACAGCTTCAGAAGACTGCATCTAGAAGCCCACTGAGACTTCAAACCCTTCTATGGCTCCCTGGGGACCTTGTGGTTGGGCCCCTCCCACCCTGCATCTCTTACAAAGGTCACTACACACTGGTACCTCACACAGTGTCCGGCACAAAGAATTCATAACATCCCCTCCAATACTGAGTGAATGGATGAATGAATGAATACATGCTGCTTCAGTGTCCTTTGTGGCAAGCTGACCAGAATAATTTCCTGTAGAAAAATGAACGGGGAGGGGGAACCAGCCCGAGTCTTCCACAAGCTGCCGCCCCTCACCTGGGTGCCCATGAGCTCCACCATGTCTCCGATCCCGGGCGGGAGCTCCCTCTTTGGGCTACTGTGGTGCCGCTCGGCCTCCTTGACCTGAACCAGCTGCTCATCCAAAGCCTCTTTCTGCAGAAGCAGCTTCTGGGTCTGCCCAGCCTGCACGCCAAGTTCCTTCTCCAAGGCCAAAATCACACGGTCTTTCCCTTTGATCTCATCCATCTGTAAAGGAGAAAGAATAAGCAGTTAACCCTAGGGGCTCGTGACCAAGGAAATCTCTCCCCTGCCTGGGGCCTTAGGCCCAGGGGAAGGTCAAAGCAGTGTCTCTGGCCTGGGTCAACTGAATTCTGTACTCTGGATGCAGAGCAAGCATAGCCTGCAGCCCGTGGCCTGTTCGGTCACTCCCCCCAAAACAAAGGAGACAGAGCTAGGGGCTGAAGCATGGACAGATTCAACTTGACACACATACTGACAACTGTGTCTGCTCCTGTCTCTCTCACCTAAATGAAATAAAATAAAACAAAACACTACCAGCCTCCAGCCGGGCGTCTGCAGCTCAGCTTCCTGGCAGAGTTGGCTTCTCTCCCATCTCCAAGCCCATGTCTCCCTCTCAGTCGCTGACCCTCTTCTGCCTGGCCACAGCTCCCCAACCCCCACCACCAGGTAGCTCCTGCTAAGGTCACCAGTGCTTTCCTGGCCACCCAACCTACCCGACAACTTTCTGTTCTCCCACCCTGACTCCTCACCAGCGTCTGACCCCGTCACCCCCTGACTCACGACCTCCTGCTCCCTCTCCCCAAGGCCACTTCTGTTTCTATCTTCTTTACAGGCTGTCTTGCTCTGGCTGCCATTGAAGAGCGGAGTTTCCAAGGCTTGGGCCTCTTCTCACTCTGTATCCACTCCCAGGCAGTCAGGTGCTCCCTGATGGCATCAACCCCACATCTGCAGCAAATCTGAAACACACACCCAGCCGTGGCTTCTCTGTGAGCTCCACAGTCACAGAACCAGCTGGCTGCTTGATACCTCTGCTTGGATCTCAGAGGGACCGCAGCCTCTCCACATACGAACCTGAACTTAATCTTCAGCTCACCCCAGGGCTGTCTTGTCCAGCCTTCCCACGACAGAGTGTCAGAGGACACAGGCTCAACACAGTGTTGAACACATTCCACACAGGTAACAGTGTGGAAACCACACCGAAAAAGTGTGTGGAGGAAGTGTCAGCCCCAGGTCACCCACTCTGGCTTTTTCTGGATGCTCCAGTGAGGGCCCTGCACCAGTTGAACCGAAGCGCCCCGAGACCCATGCCCTTCCTGAAACTTCAGAATGGGATCTTATCTGGAAAGAGGGTAACTGCAGGTGCAATCAGTTAAGACGAGGTCATCCTGGAGCAGGGTGAGGACTTATGACAGGTGTCCTTATGACAGCAGAAGAGAGAGACAGAGGGGAAGGCTGTGTGAGGACAGAGGCAGAGGCTGGAGGGACACGGCCTCAAGCAGAGGAACTCAAGGTCTACCAGCAACACCAGCAGCAAGAAGAGGCTGGGAAGGATCCTATTCTACAGCCTTAGGGGGAAATGTGGTCATGCAGACATGATGATTTCAATCTCCTGGCCTCCAGAACTGTATGGGAACACTTTTTCTGTCATGTTAAGCCATGAAGTTTGAGGTCATTTGTCACAGGGGCCTCAGGGAAACTGACACAAAGTCTCTTCCTGCTCAACTGGCTCATGTAGCAGTTTACGTTTCAGTGGATTAAAATCCAAAGCTCTTACTTCTAAATCATATAGCTTGATTTCAGACATGACTGCCACAGCAAAGAATTCAGGTTAAGGACCCTGTTCTGATAGCAGAGAGAAGCAAGCTAAAATCCTACCCACCCCCCAACCCTTACCATATGACTTTGGGCAAGTTGGGCACCTCTCTGATTCAGCTTCTGTCTCTGTAAAATGTGGACAATAAGAAGACTTTAGAACCAACCCTGTCTAATTGCTGGGGAGCTTTACAGCAACCATGGAGAGAATCTGGCTCAGCACCCGGCATATTGCAAGCCTGCCACTGGTGTTTGCTGCCACCGTTAATCTCTTTTAGCCCCTAGGGAACATGAGGCTATTTTATTTTAAAAGACCACTAAAAACTGAAAAAAAAAATCATAGAGATGAGAGAAGAAAGGAAATGGTACCCCTAGATTCCAGACTGAGAGGTTTTCCAGCCAAGTGCCACAGTGCTACAGTTGGGATGTGGAATTTCCGTCACTTGCAACCAAAAGAATCCTAATTGACGTAGAGTCAGGAAAGAACAATAAACTTGCCGGAGGTTATCACGTCTCTCTTACATGCTAGTTGTGAGCTACGTACTAAATTGTACTTAAGAGCGCTCTGAGGCACTTTCTTTGGAAGGCAAAAAGGTATTTCCATCAGCCGGGATGATCTCCTGGCCCCTCCAATAGGTGCCCGGTGCAGTTTCTCCTAAGCAGCCGCTGAACATGCCCACTGCTCCCCCTGGTGGTGATCCATCAGCATCTACCTCCTTGGGCCAAATCCCAAATCCCGAGTATGGCAGCTTCCAAATGGGTAGGAATGCTGTCCATTCCACAGGAGGAATCCTTAAACATGCTGAAAACACCATTGCCAATGTAGATGTAAACCCGGAAGCAGAAAGAATTATGCAGAAGGAGTTCATTCATTTTATCCACTTAAGCACGTTTTCATTAATTCAACACATACTGAGCTGAGCACTATCCACGGGTGCTGAGAAACGTTAGTGAGAAAAACAGATCAGACTCCCTGCCCTGGGAGCTTCTATTCAGCGGGAGGGGGAAGGAGGCAATAAACATAATAAACAAGCAGACATCATAGTGATTGAAAGTGATTTGTGCTAGGAGGGAAAAAAAATAGCATCAAAGCGAGGGAAATCGGTAGGGATAGTTGAGGATGTTGCAAGGTAACAGCCTGTCCATCACCGGTAAGGGAGGGTTCTCGCCTGTGCCCCTCAGCATCAGCTTCGCTGTGAAGCCCCCACCACTGCCTTCCACTAGCTTGCCACAAAAGGCAGCATCATCTGGAGCAAGATATCGCAAATTCTCCACCTGGAAGAACACCAACCCCCCATTGTCCTGGTAAGTGAGACCAAAGGCTTCTGCTTCAGACACCACTAGAAAATTTCCTAGAAATTTCCTAGAAAACATTCTCAAACAGGAGAGATGGCATCTAGAAACGGACGGATGGCCAATGCAGAACACGTTCTGGAGCCAGCAGGAGTCCTGAGACCCGAGAGGTTAAGAGACAGGCCAAGCTCATATGGCAAGCGGCAGGCACACTCACTGTTTACTGGATCACAAACTGAGTTCTTAGTGATCCTACCTCGCTGCCCTCAGGACCCTGAGTAGATCCCCAGCTTCCTAGAACTGCTCACCTTGCGGGACATCCTTCAGCTTCCTTCCTGCATCAATTTCCCCTCCTCCCACACGCTCAGTCTCAGCATATGCAGTAGAAAAGGGGTGAAACCAAGACCACTGCAAGTTCTCAGGGCAGTCCCCCATTGGCTCAAGCCACCCAAGTGTGCCTGTCCTGACAGTAATTGCTTCAGGGATAGATGCACAAGCCAATCAGAACTGATGGCCAGAGAATGGTGGTGCCAGGATCCTCCTGCTTTTCCTTAGGAATTAAGAAAGGGACCCTGGGCTATGTGGAGTAAGAACGCAGGACCTGGCATGGTGGTGGCATCTCCCCAGCACAGCATGAGAGCCCACAGCCTGGGAATGACACAGCGGGAGGCAGGGCAGAGTCCAATAACCCGGGATCCTGGGTGACATCATTAGGGCACCTGGAGCTGCACCTACAGCAAATCCCATGACTTTAGTTACAAGAGCCAACAGATTCCCATAGCCTAAGCTGGTTTGATATGGGATTTCTGTCACTTGCAACCAAAATAATCTCAATCAACAGCGTTCCAGAAAGAATGACAAACTTGATGTTGGCTATCACTCCTCTCTTAATGCTAGCATGAGTAGGTAATAATTTGTACTTAAGAGACACTCTTGAGTCTTTAAAAGATCCTTAAAGTGTATCATTTACCCCAAGATACACACAAACTTGAGGTTCATAAAGAGGAATGTGCAAATGCTCTAGTTGGCCGCAGAACCGTGACTCAAACTCAGACTGTCCTCTCCAAGCCCTCACTGTCCCCTCTGCCCCGTAGGAACAGAGCCCAGTCGTTTCTCAGCAGTCAAGTCCACCAGGAAATGCATCTCAGTGAAAACAAGCCCACCGACCCATGACTGATTTGGTGAGCTCCACTTTATTGCAAAGTTTGGGGGAATCAAAGATGAAAGCAGAGGCCAACATCCATTCTAATTCTTGGTACCTGTAATGGGGCGAATAGTATCCCCCAAAATGTTACATCTACCCCAAAAACCAGAATGTGGCCTTACTTGGAAATAAGGCCTTTGCAGAGGAAATGAAGATGCAAATTCAGATGAGATCATACCAGGTTAGGGCGGAGCCTACACCCATGGACTGGCATCCTTAAAAGAAGAGGACAAGACGCAGACACGCAGGGGAGAAGGCATGTGCAGGCAGAGACTGAAGGGGTGCAACTGCAAGTCAAGAAATGCCAAGGACTGCCGGCCACACCGCAAGCTGCAAGAGGCCAGAAAAAACTCTCACCCCAGAGCCTTCAAAAGGAGCACAGCCTGGTCGATACCTTGATTTGGGACTTCTGGCCTCCAGAACTGTAGAGGAAATAAATGTCATTATTAAAAGGCTCTGAGCCTGTGGTACTTTGTTACAGCTGCCCCAGGAAACTAACAGAGCACCACACCATGGTTTCTCAGAAGCTGCAGGGCATGCAATAGGGGGCGACATTTCCCAGCCCTCCTTGCAGCAGGCACAGCTGAGTACACTCTGGCCAGAGAGGTGGAAGTGGAAGTGTGAGGGACTTCTAAAAAGAAAAGCATTCTCAAGTGAAGTCCACACACCCTTCTTCACCCACCTGCCCACTGCCAATCTGGACAAAGATGTGATGGTGTTCCATGGGCATGGGAGACCATGAGGATCAGGGCGACACCTCAGAGCCCCTTCTGAGGGGAAAGCTGGGGGCCTCATGTTGACCAGAACCACCTTAACTAGAGTGTCAGCACCCCATGTTGACCATAACCACCTTAAACTAGTGTCACTGCCCCATGTTGACCACGGCCACCATAAACTAGAGTGTCACCACCCCATG